AAAGCTTAATAAAGTACTCGTGGAGCTCCGGAAGGCCCACAGAGCCTGGCCAGTCGCCCCCCATCACGGTGCCAGGTCCCACTGGGAAGCCACCGCCTCCGGCCACCGAGGGCAGTTCCTCTGGCCAGGAGCCGGGTTCTGAGTTCTGCCTGCAGGTGGCTTTCCTCGGCTCCTCGCACTTGTTGCTGGGCTCTTGGGAACATAGCTGTAGCATCAGCCTTCGAGCCCAAGAGAGAAGTTCACTCTGTGTCCAGAGACAGGATCCTTCAAAGTGCTTCCCTTGTGAGATGGGTGCTACTCTGGTGGCTCCTGGACAAAGGGATCATCTCGTTTCATCCTTTTCCAATTTTTGTTCTTTTAAAAGTCTCTCGAGGACCTTTTGTGTCTGTGGGGAAGTTATCCTAGAGGCAGGAGAGCAGCAGGCTCGGGCGGGCAGCCCCAGATCCATGCCCTTGTGAGAGAACAGCCTGATGTGTAGGATCTGGGTACAGATTTAATACCAGGGTCGGTTTATACCTGTTAACTTAGGTTAAGCTCCAAGTTCAGGAAAGGAAGAGACAACACTGCCATCTAGTGGCAAATGGGGGGGACAGCGCACACAATGACAGCTGATTTGGATCCAGTTGTTCAGGTCAGAACCATTTTTAGCATCAGAATGAGTCTCTGACCCCATGTCACAGTGACCCAAGGAGCAGGGGGTTTGCAGGCTCCTCCCTCTCCAGCCAGGGCACCGTCACCACCCAAGGAGCCAGCTGCCGCGTGCAGGCACCATGCTACACTCCACCTGCCTATCTCCTCAAGTCCCCTCAGTCTCAGGAGGGAGCCAGTGACATCAGCATTCTGCATAGGGAGCTGACGTGGGTGCAGACCTGTGTTCACAGCCAGGCGGGCGGCCCACTTCACCTGGGGGGAAGGGGACACTGTCTAGTTTGAGAGGTGTAAGTGGGACTGCAGAGAAGTGTGGCTTTCTAATTTCCCTTTGTGTGTGTTTGAAGGGAACTTCCCTGATAGGCCTCGGTCACACAGCAGTTCTGTAAGAGCAGGGCTCCTCCCCTGCGGCTTTGCCTGGGCTGCCTGGTTGGGAGGCAGGTCAGTGTGGTGGAAACGCACGCTCTGGCGCTAGTCCGCCCTCCCCAGCTGCTCGGTCCTCTCTAAGCCTCAGTTTCCCCATCTGCCAGTGAGAAACACTCCCTCAGGCTTCAGTGTGGAGAATATCTGGCCCAGAGCAGATACTGTTTCGCTCTCCTTTGCTGGATGACTAAGTATTAACTATTTGGTAAATGCAAATGTAATTCAGAAAAAAAGAGAAAAAGCCAAAGGTGCAAGAGACCTGGGGTTCACCTCTACAGACTTTGCTAAATTGAAAATAATGCAGAACTTTCTGCAGTGAGGAGAAACCACTGGGCTGCTTTTGTTTCTAAGAACAGATAAAAATGGATTTGATATTCCAATGAGTGTCTTAGAATCCAATTAGAAATCAGAAAGAGATGTTTGCTCCATTTAAGTCTTAAGTGCACCTTATGCCTAATTTCAAACAAAGCCCAGAATAAGCTGATACAAAATGTTAAAGAGATACCAACTCCTTTTAAGCCACATACTGAACAAGAAGTGGCCCCTTTTCACAGGAGTGTTATGTCCTCAGAGGACCAAGGGAGGGCAGAGCAACACCACCCTTAGTTGCTATACATCTGGATCCAGCTCTTGGGAGAGGAGGGGAGAGATGGAGGAAAGGGGGAGGCAGGGATCAGAGTGACTCCAGCCCACCAGGCAGAGCTGGTTGGGGGCTGCTGGACAAGGTAGCAGCTGGGAGAGCTTGGGCCATGCTGCTTAGTTGGGTCCCCAACTGGAATTGGGGTGCTGCTTAGTTACAGGGGTGCTGAGAATGCCTCATGCAGTGAACAAAGTAGAAATTCCTGGGAACAAATTACTCCACTTAGTCACCTTGTAGAAACTGTGAACAGAAGCCAGAAAACAGCCAAACACTGACAAATACGGGGATGACAGATCCCAGAACCTACATAAAGCAAGTGCAACAGTCAAAGTCCAGAGGTCTGGCTTGTGTGGCTCAGTGGTTGAGTGTCGACCTATGAACAAGGTCAGGGTTTGATTCCCAGTCAGGGCTCACGCCCAGATTGCAGGCTTGATTCCCAGGAGGCGGTGAGCAGGAGGCAGCCAATCAACGATTCTCTCTCATCATTGATGTCTCTCTCCCCCCCTGGCCCTTCCTCTCTCTGAAGTCAATTAAAATATATATATATATGTTAAAAAAAAAGTCCAGCCCTAACCGGTCTGGCTCAGTGGATGGAGCGTCAGCCTGAGAACTGAAGGGTCCCAGGTTCGATTCCGGTCAAGGGCATGTACCTTGGTTGCGGGCACATCCCCAGGAGGGAGTGTGCAGGAGGCAGCTGATCGATGTTTCTCTCTCATCGATGTTTCTAACTCTCTATCCCTCTCCCTTCCTCTCTGTAAAAATCAATAAAATATATATATTTTTTAAAAAGTCCAGATATCTGAACATTTGTAATAAGGACAGTAACTGCACTTATATAAAGCTTTCAAGTGCACAGTTACTGTCCTTATTACAATGCTTTATATATGTCGTTTTCCTTGACCCTCTCAGTAGACCCTGAGGTAGGTGCTGTGGTTACACACATTTATAGACAGGAAACTGAGGCAAACAAGAGCAGGTGGCTTGCCCCAGGCTACCCAGACGGGGAGTGGTGGGGCTGGGATTTGACCTGGGCACTGGCTGGAGCCAAAGCTGGTAGACTCAACCATTATGCCATGCATTGTCTTCCAGAACAAAAGGGGACCCATGAACAAGTCAGAGCAGGTTGGCCCCGAGTCCATTATCGCCGCTTGAACCAGAATTATTCCGAATTCTGGCAGAGCCCACAACTGGGGTCTGTCTGAATTACAGACACCAAGGCAGTGAGAGATGAGGATCCCAGTGGTGGTGGGGGAGACATCGAGGAGGAACAGGTTCTATGGGATGGTAGTGGAATATGGCTTCAGCCTTGAACCTGGGGAGCTATGGAAACCACACTGACAATTTATTGAGCACCTACTATGAGCCTGTCACACTGTGGGGCATTTTTCAGAGGATTGTGGTCAGAGGGATTGCTAGGGTCCACTAAGAGCAATGGGATGGAAACCAGGCCTTGGAGACAGCGCCTACACCCAGAGCTACTGGGTCTCCTTGTGATGATGTCACCTGGGCAAGCGGGAGGGCTCTCCTGGAGGATGTGAATTTCCAATGCTAATATCAGCTGAGTAACCAAACCTGGCCACTGATACTGTCTCCTGCTCTGCTGTGATCATTGTGCAAAAGACAACGTATGTACAACTGGGCAGTCTAATCATCCCTCAGAGGAAGTGGGAGCCAGGGTAAGTGTGAGAAGCAAGCAATGAGGGGTTTCCTGCGACATTCATGAGGTGGGGAATTCTGGCTCAGTGCACCGTAAGCTCTTTCCTTCAGTGATTTGGACTGAGGCACGGGGAAGGAGGACCCATCCCCCTCAGTCCGTTCAAGCTGCTATGAAATACCACTGCGTGGCTTATAAGTAGCAGAAATTTCTTGCTTACAGCTCTGAAGGCTGCAGCATGGTCGGGTGAGGGCCTCTCCTGGATGGCGGAACGGGCGAGGGAGCTGTTGGGGTCTCTTTTATAAGGGCACTAATCCCATTCATGAGGAGTCCATCCTTATGACCTAATCACCTCCCAAAGGTCCTACCCATTAACACCATCACCTCCGGGGGTCAGAATTTCCACATGTAAATTTTTTTTTTTTTTGGGGGGGGACACAAACATATAGACAATAGCACCATCCATATCCACTCACCTTCTCTATGGCATGCCTGCTGCAGAGCAGCTGTTGATCTTGGAGCCTGGGGGTAACTACTAGGGGTGGAAACTCTGGTGTAGTGGTTACAGACACTCGAAGGGCATGGGGCACTGGCAGACCCCATCACCACCAGGAGGAATTCCGTCTTTAAAAGGGGGCCCAACGGATGCCAGGACTGCTGACCAGGATTCTGCAAGTAACACTAGAGCCCAAGGGCTTTCAAGATTAGCTCAAAGCAATGCAAAGAAGCATGAGACAGTTTTGACCAGGATTCAGAAAAAGCAAAAGTTCTCGCAGAGACCACTGCTATGCTGACTATCACATGCAGAACATGACAGGGAAAAACAGGGGACAGCTGTGGAAGATGAAAAGCAAGGAAGGCAAGGTGACCTCTCTGCCGGAGGACAGCAAACACTGCGAACAGACATGCAGAGACACACACCTGCCCTCCATCCTGTAATCATGGTATCATTTCTCTCTACATCTCGGATGAAGGCCACACACTAGGGCCTCTTCATGCAGCCCCCAAACATGCCAACGGGCTGGCTGGGGACCAAAGGCGCAGCTGACATTTCAGAGCTGATTCTAGCTTGTAAGGTCTCAGATCTCAAAGACAACCACCACATGATCTTAAATGTGTTTAATGCTTTGCAGAACAAACATGTTCTTTACTATTAAGTTCATTATGAACTTGAATCACTAAAAATTGTAAAGTCCATAACTGATTTTAAGCCCTAAGCAACACCACCTTTGGTGTTCAGTGATTTAACTTAGTAAACTCTGTGCAAAGTCATGAACCTTTCCATACATTTGCAATCTCCAAAATATAACTAGTAAGTTGCAGCATAGCCCTCTATCCCTTTGCAAAGAGTGGAGAGCAATGGCTCAAGTCACCATGGCTGAATTATGTTCTAAGCTTGAAGAAAAATCTGCTCTCACCGGGGCCATGTGCCTGCATCCTTGGGAGGCTGACCGATCCACCTGGGATGACAGCCGGCAGAGGCTCCAAAGCTTTCTGAAGCCACAGGTGCCACAGCACCGGCCCTGGGCAGGGAGCCAGGCCAAAGGCAACAAGAGAATCTTTTGGAGAAAGCACTGCATCCCCGCCCAGTCTGTGTCCACCTGTACCCGCCACCGTCTCAGTCAGGGCCCGTACCTTTCCTTGCATCATGGAAGTTAGGGCCCGGCCTGCCAGTGTAACCCTGCTGTGGGCAAGAGAACACAGTGTCACTTTGCTTTACTAAAAGAGTTCCCTTTTGATACATCATTACCACCACCACCCGACCCCCCCAGAAAATTATCCTTTTCCGAGCCTGGACGTTACATCTGCTTCAGACAAGGTTTAAAGTTTGCTGTTCTTCTGGAACTGGGCCACCAGGTTGAGGACCTGCTCAGAAGCCTTGATGTTCTTTGAGCCGAGGTAGGAGGTGCTGTTGGTGGCCGTCTCCTCCAGGAAGTACCGGTAGTTGACCATCATGCCACACGAGCCAGTGATGCCCTTGAAGCTGAGGTCTGCCATCCAGTTGATGCGCCACATCACAGCCCCGTTCTGCAGGTGGAAGTTTGCCACGGGGTTCAGGGCATAGCCCCGGTGTTTCTCTCCATACAGGTACCAGGCACAGAGCCTCATCAAGGGGGCCTGGAGCGCCTTGGCCAGCTTCTCGGACTTCACCCACTCGTTACTGCTGAGAAGGGCCTTGAGGGTCTCATTAAGGGGACACCCTGTGACCGCAGAAATTTCTTTATACTCAGAATCTGTAAATAACTCACTCCTCCCATGATCCTTTGCTTGTGAGTTCAGAAGCCCCAGGAGCCATTTGGTGAAGCCAGGTATAGGAGACAGACTTGAAAATGTCCCAAGGTGAGGAAACTCTTTCTGTAAGGCACGTAGGGTGGGGAAAGGTGGTGGAGAGAACACACACACAAAGAGAATTCAGCAGGGGTGTCACTGACCCAGAAGTACCTGTCCATTTATCATTTATGTACCATTAGCCTGGGTATGCTGTGTGGCTTACAAAGTGACGTTTGATATGCACTGACTTTCTTCTTTCAAAGAACATTATGCATCTGACATGGGCCAGGCCCTGGAGGCATCCTGAGCCCCCAGGCAAGCCTTTAGGTGGTGTCTCCATCTGCACCATTGAGAGGGTGGCAAGTCGGGGAACCGCGGGAAATCAGAGCCATGCTGTGAAGTGGGACCTGGTGTGCAGTCTTCTGACTGTAGAGTGTGTCTCTCTGGCATACATTCTCCACCCAAAGACATCTGTGCAGCCACACAATCTGGTTTGGTGCTTGGCACACAGTACCCAATGACTGTTCGTTGAATAAATAACTGATTTCCCAGCTATACCACAGTGGATGCAGGATGGGATAGAAGGGGAGGCAATGGGTCTTTTTCCACATCAGCCAATACAGGTCAATCATTATTATTCAAATTACAGAGATCTCAATGATCATTTTTAAAAATCCAGTATTTTTGGTTTATAAATGTTATATGCTCACTACAGAAATTTTTTTAAAGATTTCTGACAGAAGCAAAGAAAACCATAACACTCCTCTACTCTGAGATAACCACTCTCAATAGTTTGATAAAGTATAACTCCTGGTCTTTCTCTAGGCAATTTTTATATGGGTGAGACTGTTACTTTATATTCTGCTTTATGACCCTATATCATGACCATTTTCTCATTATCATTACAACTCAAAAACAATTTAAACAACAGAATATCCAAAGATGAGACTATCGCATTACTTTCCTAACCACGCTGTCACCGGGCATTTAAGTGGCTCTTAGTGTTTGCTGGTATAGCCCTGACGAGCACTCCTGTGCAGAAGGGGATATGCTTCCTTGAGATCCTCTCTGATGACTCTCCGGCGCAGAGCCGAGTGGTGGCTGAGCAGCCAACCGTCAGGATGGCTCCTGGGCTGAGGGGCTAACTCTGACTGAGAAACAGAGCCTATGGGTGAGTCCCCAGGACCCCGGATTCTGCCCCCTTTGATCGCCTGTCTTACAAAGTCACACACTTCCTGCCCCATTCATTTACACCTTCAGCAAAGAAGAAAGAAATAAGAAGTTGATATTAATTAGACGTGGCTTCTTACCACCTCTGGGGAAAAGACAGAGTGATTCTAATGAAGCTGATATGCATCTGAGTCCTCAGATTTAAAATTGATTATGAATTTAATACGAAGCACATACACATTTTAATTCCACTCCATCTCTAAGGATGAACTTGGGTTGCAGCTGTGTTGAAACTACCCAAAGCAGAGAACATCACTCTCAGAGCCAATTATTAACAGTCCAATTATTTTACCTAATAATTAGATTCTACTCATTATAGTTTACCCCTAGCCCCTTATGAGACAGTTTTAAAAAGCCTAGTGAACCTGAACAGTGCTGTTGTAGGATGGTTAAAGTATTTTTAAAAGCCAGTCTTTTGTAAGCTGTCTGGTCTAACCTTGACACTCCCTCTAACGATGAGAAAGCCCAAGCTGATGAAACCTCAGGGGTCAGAAGCCTGGAGAGTGGGTGAGGGCGGGTGGGTACAGTCAGGTGTGGCTAGAATGACCATACAATGTATCATCCAAACTGGGACAGTTGAGAATGGAAGGCGGCATTCCTATTGATTATGCTGCGACAACACGTGCAAATCAGAATCCAAGTCCCTGAGAAGCTGATGTCCTCAGAACAGATCTGCATTTGTGGCCAAGGGAGAAGCTCGTTTCTTGACACCATTTTCTCCTCCTGAGTGGTCTCAGGGCTCCTGGGAAGTGCCCTGGCATTCTGCTAAACCCTCTTCCTTACCCCCAGCTCATATCGCATCCCTTGCCCATCACCAATCCTAGGACCTGGTAACTGACGGAACTGCAGCAGGGGCACCTCACTCACCTGCAGCTCCTTCACCACGCGCTTTATGAGGAAGGTCCCCAGCTCCACCCCCTGCAGGCCTTGCTGGGTCAGACTGATGGAATAAAATATGGCAGCGGCGATTTTGTTCTTCTCCTCTGTTTCTGCCGGAGGACACTCCTTCACGATTGACTGCAAAACATGAATGATGGTGGTGAGCGGGCTTGGATGCTCTCACATCCTGCACCTCACCCGTTCACTTCCGGCCATGAGACATTCTCTCAGGGTGTCCCCCTCTGAAGACTAAACACTGCCTGAAATCTGGTCTGGTATCTCCCTGAAGGTGGCAACGGCACAACTTCCCTGGGTTGTGTGCTCAATGTCACGTCATTTTGCTCTTTGAAAGTTTCGTGCAAACCTTGCTGAATAGCAATTTATGTCCTTTTTGTCCTTTTCAGGCCGCTGTGCAAACTGAAATGTGATTAATCTGCTCCCCTTCAACACCCAGAGAGAACACCGACCCTCTGTCTAGGCCACCTGCCCCTTTCTGCACGGCCTGCTTGCTCCTCGCTTTAGTTATGTGCACTCCTTTCTCGGAACTATAGTGTTTTCCGTCTCTCCAGAGACCAGCGAGTCCTATATACTTTGTCTTTCAGGAAATTTACCTTTTCCATGTACCTTTTTAAAAATATATATATTTTATTGATTTCAGAGAGGAGATAGAAAAATCAATGATGAGAGAATCATTGACTGGCCGCCTCCTGCACACTCCCTACTAGGGACCGAGCCAGCAACCCGGGTATGTGCCCTTGACTGAAATAGAACCCAGGACCTTTCAGTCCAAAGGTCGACGCTCTACCCACTGAACTGAACCTGCTAGGGCTATGCACTTTTTTATTTTGTGCCACATTCTTGTTTTTCCTTGAAGCAATATGAGATATGACTTGCCAAGTCTGATTTTATTAGCTTTGAGTTTTGACTGCATTGTTTTTTGAACCCTAATACTCTGCAGGTCACTTGACAATAGTGGAATAGCGGGTGGTTACCTTTCAGTTTGCTTTGATGAAGGCACCAGCTTGCTTCTGAGCACAGTTACACTACTCTAACTTCCGTCAGCTACATTTGATTCCTAAAGTTGGGGGTGGCTGACCTAGTGCCCATGATGAGGCCTGGGAGTCCACAAACTTTCTGAAATTGTGGATGGAATGTGCAGGTTTTTGCACTATGTCCCTGGGGAAATGTCCTTAGCTTTCATCCCCTTCAGATGCTCAGAGTCTTTTCTGTGACTCCTGAAAAGGTAAGAACTGCGGCCGTAGGAAAGTGGGGTAGACAGTGAAATAGGCAGTGACACCTCCTGGGGCTGAGGCCAGGCCTCTCTCCTACACCCGTGCTACAAAGGACAGACCTCACTTTCCATCATTATTAATCTTCATCTTGGTGATTTATTTACTTTGCTTTTCAAGAATTCTGTAGGTTACCTTGTGGTTCCTTATTCAAAAATTTCCAGCAACTCCTTTTTTAAAGTTTTCAAAATAAAAGCGAATCTTTCTTTGGTTATACAAATGAGATACACATAATGTGCAAGAGGCAAAAAATAAATACACAAAAAGGAATCACAAATTACTCCAAAACCTAACCCCAAGTCCTGCTGTTAGCCATTTGATGAACAGAACTTTCCAGGTCTGTCTCCTTGGCTATAGGTAGGTATACACAAAACTGTGTATTCACGTAATTCTCTCACAGGCCCAGATGCTCAATTACACACACACACGGTGGCTGCTCTAAGGGCTTTGGCTAGAATCCCAATCCCACCCTTAATTATTCTATCATCACAGGCAAATGACTAACGTCTCCTAAGCCTCAGTTTTCTTAGGTCTAAAATAAGGACAATCATTGATAATATTAGATGAACTCACAGAGTGCTGTGAGCAGTAATGCATGGAACGTGCTTCAAGGGCTGACAGACACTGAGCAAATGCTCAATCAATATTATAAATAAGATCATACTGCACACGCTATTCTGTAACCTGGTTTTTCCATGCACTAGTTTGTCAATGTTGGCTTTCCATGTCAACAACAGAAAACGAAATCAGTACCTAAATACACTCTTCTGCCCCCATGCGCCTGCAGGAATGTCCCATGCATGAGGATGTACCAGATGGATATGCCATCATGTCTCTAACTCACCCTCTCCAGGTGGACCGGTCATCATTTCCAGCCTTTCAACACTGTACAATGCCGAAACCACCTGCACTCTTAGATCCAAGTATCTCCCCAGGATAAATTCCTGAGAGTGACATTTTTTTTTAAGGAAGACTGGTTGAAAGTTTATTTGAAAAGAATCCCCAGATCTCTTCCCCAATTTCCTGATGTGAGGCAACTGCCCCTCACCCAAGGAAAGACTAGAGTTTTATTCTTTTTTTTTTTTTCTGGGGAGTTTTATTGTTTTTAAAATTAAAAAAAAATTTTTTTTCATTGATTAAGGTATTACATATGTGTCCTTATCCCCCCATTGCACATTTTATATTTTAATGGATATCACCAAACTGTCCTCAGAGAGCGAGTAATAATTCTGGTGTGAGAGTATGCCAACTCTTTCAAACACAAAATCCTAAGGAACTTCTCCCTGGTGATAAAGAACACCTGCTCATTTGCCTGCTCAATTTCTCTACCTTCTGATACTAGAAATGCCACCCAGAGGGTCCATCCTGTGACCTGGTATCATCTCTCCAGCTTCTGAACAGGCCATTTCCATGCCAAAGCCTTTGCCCACCACAGCTCCTGGCCTAAGCAAACCCGCTGTGATCCAGGTGTCCCTACCTTCCCTCACCTGTCTTTACTTCATCGAGATCTGCTCGATTCCCAGTCCCCGCACTGGTGGTTCTGCCCCCATGCGTCTGCAGGAATGTCTCAGACATTCTCGCCCACTCCTTAAGGAGCAGCCAAGCTTGCCGCAGGCAGGGCCTGTCAAACATGGCCCCCATCACCTCCATTTGATGAACAGACCTGGCAGAGCTCTGGGTCTGTATCAGGCACACAGCACTGAGTCTCTTTTTCAATCACATGTTGTTTAAAACTACCCACAGGCACTTAACAAATGCTGTAAAGATGAACCATACCCCCTTCCTTCTCTTTTGCCCTCACAACTCTTTTCTGCCCCACAAAGATGTTCTGTAATAGGCTTCAACCCTGTCTCAACTCCAAGTCAGTAGACCCAGATGAATGCTCTCCTCATTTCAAAACTGTCTACATACTACCCATCTACATTCTGTAGCTACTAAATTAGAGGTTTTATCCAGCAATTCAAAAGTCCACAAACGCCTAAAGCTTCTGAAAAAGGGCATAAAACCAAGTTTAAAAACCTTAAGGGCTCGGTAGGATGCCTGCCTTGCCCTGAATTTACACCCACAGGTACCTGAATGTTGCTGGAGATGTCACTGGTCAGCGCCACATGCAAGACCACCAGGGGCTCCTCGGGGGTGGAACAGTGAGAAAAGAAGTAACATCTTCTGTATGGTCCGACACGTTGTTTTATATCCATCCAATTCTTTACAGGGTGCACAGCCTCAGACCTGATAAGATTGTAATGAGGTAAGACAAATGTTCAATTACGAGTTAAATAACCATTGCTGATTCTGATTCATATTACTCACTAAAGTCAAATAAATCCTTTAAATACAGCTTCAATAACCTCTTCAGGAAAATTTAAAGAAAATTATTTTAATGTGAAACAGCAGACTAAAAGGAACTACAATTAATGACTACTTTACACGCAAAACTGTGCTCTAATTTTTAATACCCGGTGTGAAGACTAGTTTGCGAGGCTCTTGGGAAGCAGTTATGCAGCAGATTGTAACACAGAAACTAACCAGATGCTTAGGCGTTGAACATTCTATGTCTTTTATTTCCTCTGAATCTGCAGTTTGAAGTCAATGTTGCAAACACAGGTCTCTTGGTTCCCTTTGACTAGCAACCTCAGCCACCCACTGTTCTGTCTTCAACATGTGCAATGGCAACACTGTCTCGAGTCGGTTACACCTCAAATAGTACAACATTTTCCAAACCTTAGATCATGTAAGGCAGCACGAAGTGTGAAGATCCTGAGGCGGGAAGAGCTGCCCATTTGTGAGAATAATCATAACATATTAGGCTGCATTTTACTGTGTCTTTGACATGTTGGAATTATGTTCAATATTGTTAATTTAGAGGTTTTTATCCCAGGGAGAAATTTTAACGATGAGATAGATGCTGTTTAGATTAATGCAGTGAATTCATACAGCTCTGACAATGGGATCTGGAGAAAAGGGGGTCCGTGTGCTTTAAATACGAGGGCATAAATGAGACCCTGCATGTCACCTGCGGGGACAGCCACCTTTGTGTTTGGGTTTTATAGGGTTGGAACAAAATATACATGTGAATGGAGACTGGCTTTCAGCTAAGATATAAGAAACGTGACAAGCTGAATACTTACTCACTGATTTTCTGAAGCACTTCACATGGCGAATGCCAGGTCACCCGTTCGAGGTTTAGGAATCCCGAAGAAAACCACTCCGTGAGCATGCCTTTCAGCACACCATTCATTTCCTGAAAAGGAGAGGAGAAAGTGTCAGCTTTCCCAAGCCCATCTCTGCACTGTCACCAGTCCAGTGAACTAAAACACGAAACACAAGCTCAAAGGAGATTGCAAGATGCTTCTCTAAACGGCCTTTTCTGAGACAGCGCTACTGCCCTCCGACCTCAACCAAGTCACACCGAATGCAGCGCTTCACTTCAATCTGTAAGATACCTGAACGGGAGCAGTCAACTTGAATTAACTTTCCCAAATCAAGTAATATGCTCCCATTGGTTCCATAGTGAGCACAACTACAGCCAGTGAGCGGGACAGTGAGTGGTGTGCCGTAAGGGAGGCACTAACGCAGGCAGCACTGAGCTCCAGCCCCATGCCCTCAGGAAGTTTCTGATAAGCCAAAGCATCATTCCTCATTTCCTAGGAGAAGCAGGCACTGGGTCCAGGTACCGTATTTCATCAATTCTAAGATGCGCATTTTCATACTTTAACATCTCTCAGGTCAGGATGCATCTTTCAAGAGGGCAGGGCACAATTTAACTGACAGCATTTCCCCCCCTTAATGGGACATAAAATAATATTGTATCTGACAATCAATGCATTCAGATTTGATGAAATTATTCTAATTTTACTTCACTTGCTTATATGCAATCTATTTCTGAAAACTGAGTCAACTTTACTACTGAAGATAATTTTCACTGAAACCTCCCAAGCAAGATTGGAACAAGAGGTGCGTAAGGAAAGGACAGGCGCAGACCCGTCTCAGATTAGCCGCTGTGACCACACTGAACCTGTAACAGCAGGGGGCTTCTATAGCCAGAGTGGTGGGGGAGGGGGTAAATCTAGGACGAACTGGGGGAGACACAGAGTCAGACTCAAACTGAACTTAAAGAGCTTTTGAATAGCTAGGGCTGTCCACAGATGTCCTCCTAGGAGTGTGAATCTCCCCATGGAAGTGACCAAGCACAGGGTCGACAATGTGATGGAGCTGTTTTAAAAAGGATTTAAGCGCCCTGGTTGGGTGGCTCAATTGGTTAGAGTGTCATCCCATACACCAGGGGTCCTCAAACTACGGCCCACGGGCCACATGCAAATACAAATATTGTATTTGTTCCCGTTTTGTTTTTTTACTTCAAAATAAGATATGTGCAGTGTGCAAAGGAATTTGTTCATAGTTTTTTTAAAAACTATAGTCTGGCCCTCCAACGGTCTGAGGGACAGTGAACTGGCCCCCCGTTTAAAAAGTTTGCGGACCCCTGCCATACACCAAAGGTTGCAGGTTCAATCCCAGGTCAGGGCGCATATAGGAAGCAATCAATTAATGTTTAAATCTCTCTCTCTCTCTCCTCTCTCTCTCATTTCCTCTCTCTCAAAAAATCAAGAAACATATTCTCAGGTGAGAATTAAAAAAAAAAAAAAAGCATTTAGCCCAGCCGGCATGGCTCAGTGGTTGAGCATCGACCTATGAACCAGGAGGTCATGGTTCAACTCCTGGTTGGGGCATATGCCTGGGTTTTGGGCTTGATCCCCAGTGTGGGGTGTGCAGGAGGCAGCCAATCAATGATTTTCTCTCATCATTGATATTTCTATTTCTCTCTTTCCCTTCCTCTCTGAAAATAAAAATATATATATTTAAAAAAATAAAAAAGGATTTAAGCATCTGATAGGCAGTTGGACCAGATTATCTTTGCAATTCCTTTTAACTACTGATTAATTCCACAATCTAGTCTCCATTACTTGGCTCCAAGCTCTGAAAAGGCACAGATCATTTCCAATTCATTCCTCTAGTTCCCAAAGCATTCAGCGGGGCCGCCCATGTGGAAGATGGCTAACAGATTGATATCAAATGAAAAAGAGAAGAAAAACTGAGAATTGGGGATTAAGAAGTAGAAGGAAGGGAGGATATGAGATGTCATTTGCTAGGCAATACAGAATGGCTCCTTATGAAACTGTATTTACTGCATTTGGCTTCAATGGTTCTTAATCTTCCTGGGGTCCTCCCATCCCCTTACGCATGTGATAAAAACCAGAGCCACTTCCCCAGAAAAATGCACACACATTAATTACATTTTGCATACTATTTCCTGGAGTTCATAGACCTTTTGAAACGCAACTATGGATCATCCCCAGGGGTTCATGGACCCCAGGTTAGGAACTCTGCACTAAATGGTTAGAAATGGATTAGTCCAGTTCCATGTATCTCTATTACGTTCATAAGAGAAAAAGCTGGATCTAGTTTCAGTATTAATTCAGAAATAATTATTAAAGAAATGATTTGGCTGATGAAAGCTCCTCGTCTAAAAGTCTCTTCATTCTATTTTGGGCTATTGACAGCTATAAAATGTGACACTGGTCACAAGAACTGGGAATCTGGGTTAAAGGTTACATGTCTCCACTTAGTTCTGACAGTACAAGAAGCTGTTCAGGCTGGGATGAGCCACCCCTGCAGCAAGGCGATCACAGAAAAAGCAGGAGGGAAGAAATCACTGCTGCAGAAATCTGCTCATTTATCCTGCAATCCTGTATCCACAATCCAAGACTGAGAAATACAGCTCCCGGGACCACTGTGGCGATGCCAGTCAGCGTTAGGTCTGTCTTTTCTGGACTGCCAATTCTACTTATCCCGGGTGACTGTTCAGAAGGCCAGCCAACTCTTTCAGCAGAGAAAAAGCAGTCTCCCAACTGCCCTCTGAAGTCTTTGGCTATAAAGGTCTCCTCATTTTTGATGTGAAGAAGAGTTACTTTTCATTGCTCAGAAGCCCTGACGGAAGGGAGCTGAAAGCTATGGGGAAGGGTCATAGTGCTGAAGTTACAACATTTTAGGTACAATTCCAACTCACGCAGCTGCTACACTCCAGGTGGCTGGGGCCCACTTCCCTATCTACAAATAAGGCTTTTTAAAAGCCTAGCTAAGCACAGAATTTAGTAGAACCAACAAGGACCACTATACTAACTTAAAGCAGGACAAGCCACCAAAAAATGTGGTACGACAGTGCCTACCAGGGCTGGGCATTGCAATGGTGAGGATGCTAAGCGTGTCTGACACACGCTTATATTCCACCTAGGCACACCTCTCATTTCACCATAGTTTCTATGTTTAAATCCCCATCAATAAACCCTTTCATTTTCTAAATGCCAACTTCCCTCTAGTGCCCACAGATTGCTGAACAGCATTCAGACCTTCTGCTATAATGGGGTTCAGTTCAGTTTCATTGGGGATTTAATCTCAGAAATCTAACTCTTCAACCCAAATGGGCCTTTGGGAACGTTCCTGGGGAAAAACAAAAAGCCTAGAAACCAACACAGAAACCACATAGCACCCTCCCCTCCACATAACCCTTCCCCACCATGTTCCACACACACACACACACACCCCTCCAAGCAGGACTGGGCACACACTACAAATTCACAGGGCATTTTGTTCAGGAGGCATCCGTGTATTGGATCTGCTATGTCAGAAAACAACAGAGATCTTTGACTTTGCCAGGTTGTAAAAACCTTCTTCAACGTAGCACTTGTATCTTCTCAGCAGAGACTTGACACTTACTCTGAACTTATCAAAAAGGATTAAGATCCTCGTGGGAGAGAAAAGAAACCTGTCTGACTTAAACTGTCCGAGAGACAGACCCACGTGGCCTCATGTCTTTAATCTTCATCCTGGGCGACACTTGAAATCCAAGTGTCAGTCTTCTGGATTCTTCCCACATTTCCAATAATCACAACCTTTGGACAGAGCAGAGGTCTTAACAAACCTGCCCTCATTTGTAAACCGTACTTTTAGCAAAGCCTCATTTGTAAACCGTACTTTTAGCAAAGCCCCACCATATCCCTCAGGGCACTGCTTAGGAGAGAAGCAGGCTGATACCAACCACCAGCTGAATTTCTCACCTCAGTGCAGAACCAGCCGGCCCAGGGAGTTAAGTGGCTTGGCTAAAGGCACATAAAATCGTGCCTCTAACCAGTGCATGGCAAAGACAGGATTGGGAACCTGCCTCTTGTCTCCCCACCCAGTGCTTCTTCCACTATACTGTCTGGCCAAAGACACTGAGAATCAGCACCCTGTCTGGCCTCACATAGCTAGTTATTCTAAAGACTCCAGTAAACGAGGACCCATGCCAGCCACACAGTGGACCAATCCATTCCAGGGCAAATGCTCAGGGTAAATCCATTCCAGGGTAAAAGCCCACACGTAAACCAGCGTGTGTTCACTTGACTTTACCTAGCAAGCCCTAAGGTCAGCAGGGGCCAGGCAGGTAGCATACCTGTGTGACAGGGTGTCTGCTGTGTGCACACAGGAAGGGGGGCTGACATGGGGAGCAACTGTGGAGGAGTTCCGCACTCCCCAGTGTCACAGGCTCCTGGGGGTCTGGGACTCCTGCCCTACCGCACCACATGCCAATCATCTGGTGGTTTCTAACACTGAGTCCCTAAAAGCAAGAAGGTCTAGCTCTATCCCTTCTTTAACTTGAATGCAAAATCCAGAACGAGAGCGAAGGGAATCAAGATGGACACTAAGTGACTCTGGTGATAGATTACAATTTCAGATCCCAGATGACAATTTTTATAGATTAAAAAAATCTGAATGATTTCAATGATAGGGATTTAAAAAAATGTTTATGTAACTATGTAGAGCAAAGAAGGGAATCACCAGGTTTAGCCACTAACAGACATACTAGATATAAGGACAGGATATTCAGGTAGAGAAATGGCGGAGGCATGATAGAAACTAGAAAAGGTTTCTGCACCCAATGTGTCCACCAGGTGCAGAGGCAAAGGTCAGGCTATCATTATTTATCCTTTGTTCAAGAAATATCTTTGTGCCCAGCTGGTGTGGTTCAGTGGTCAGGGCACATGCCCGGGTTGTGGGCTTGATCCCGTGTGGAGCGTGCAGGAGGCAGCCCATCAATGATTCTCTCATCATTGATGTTTCTATCTCTCTCCCTCTCTGAAATCAGTAGAAATATGTATATATTTTCAAAAAATATATTTTTGCTATAGGTACACATTTCCCCCTCACCTGCGTGGACAGCTTGGTTAAATAAATAAAGAAAGCCTGAACATCTGAGGACCTGGTGCTCAAAGCCCTGGATTTCCCTGGGCAATCTCCTCTCTTCCAAATCAAGTCTCAACGTCACAGCTTTCAGCTGCCACTATGTTCCTTCTCCACTGCAGGGTAACTAAGCATTTTCCCATGTGGGCAAGAGCAAGGGGACGCATTGAGTAATGTGTCAGAGAATCAGAGGATTAGAACGGGATGAAGCATTAGAAACCTCCCAGGGCCAACACACGCTGAAATCTGCCAAGGGCAGCCTGAATGTCTGATGTCTCTCTCCGCTGTACAGAAACCCTCCCAAGCCCTCTGGGCTTCCTTCCAGGAGCAGAACCCTGTGAGTGCAGCAATCTGACATCAAGACAAATGGCAATGATTAGTGTGCTGACTTTGTCTTACGGCGGGGCACCCAGGAGTCTATCTCAATGCTTCATTCATCATTTTGCTATGCAAGAAGTTTAAGACAAGGTTTCCAGTTTTCAAGGAGCTGATCATCTAGTTGGGAGCAGAGGAAGTAACACATTTCCAACACTAAATTCTGTGGTTGATGTATACCATCCAAGTGAGGGGTGCAATAATCTCAGGAAGCTTAAAACTGGGTGAGACCACTTTGAGCTGGAGTGGCTAGAAAAGCTGAGTGAATGAGCTAAGGGTGGAGGCAGTTCATATGCTACCAGGCCTCCCAAGCCGGCATCACACAGGGATGCGGGTTCAGGAACTTTCCATCCAAGAATCAGCATGGCTGGAGAGGAGCGAGGAATGGAGCGTCAAGATGGAAACGTTGTCCAGGATGGTTTGTTGTGCATCATAAATGCCAAAGGAAAGACACTAAATGCGATCCTCCTGGGATGTGAAGCTCGATGACTTTTCAACAATGGAATAAAGGCTGACTCTGGTTTTAGAGAAAGATGGGCACTGGGATTGCTGGTAAGACAGACGCTTGCACCAAGTATTAGTCACAACTAGAGAACCCTGAAGCCCTGATCAGTGAAATTAAACAAACCTACCAATGAACTGATTGTTTTACCCGCCCCCCACTTTAGAGAAACGGCAAACTCTGAGAGAACAACCCATTTCAGATCCAGTTAAAAATGCTCAACTCCAAGAGTCGCTGCGTAGTGATGAAGTACACAACTGCGGAGCCACTGAGGCTGGCCCTCACCAGCTCTGTTCTCCGGGCACTGCACCCGGCCTCCCCTACGGCACAGTTCCCCACGGCGTGCTGAGGAGGAAATGAGCAAATGTGTGAACAGCACCCTTCCCATTCCAGGACAGGAACTCCTGGACCAGCTGACCTGGGAGTCTGGAGCAAGCCTCACACAAGATAAATACTAGACAGCCACATGTCCAAGGGTGGATGGACGATTTCATTCTGAGACAGGTGACATTCTACCTAAGTCTCCACACTCCTGTGCAGTAAGAACCAAGTTCCAGTAGGCACCCGGACTCTAGACCGCGGGGACCTCGGGTCCTAGTCATCTCTGTGTATTTCACAGGACTTCTTAGGACCGACGGCTTACACATAATGGGTTGCACAATCAACTGTGCTGACACAATCCAGGTTTTTAGAAAGGCTTTTTGGTGCTCAGTTGGGTACCCGTTCCAAGTATACCACACAGATGAAACCTCTCAGCTACAACAGTTAAGTCTTTGTGAAGCATACTAATCATGAAGGAGGCATGCCAGTCTCTTAAAACTAGGCGATGGCCTTATCTAACAAGCTGTGCACAGTAAGGACTGGAGCCAGACATGACTAGAGGGAGCTAAGATTCTGAAAGCCTGGGAAGGAAAGGGACAGGGTTTGGAGACTCATCATGGGATGTGCAAGACTCCAGGCAGGGGAAGCGCAGTGTCTGGGGCTGGAGGAGCAGTGAGGACTACAGAGGGGCTGCCATGGGCCCACGGACCTGGATGCAATGGAGGGCGCGACCGGGCTGTCCCCGGCGCCAGGGGGTCAGGGCGGCCCTGGCGGGGGCCTTACCCGGACGTGCGGCCCCTCCACCAGCTTGAGGGCCTGCGCCTCGATCAGGTCGGCCCGCAGCTGCACCAGGAAGCGCACGCCGCCGTCCAGCTTGCTGATGTGGTGGAAGAGGCCGCGGTAGCGCGGCACCAGGGCGTAGCGCAGCCGGTCCTCGGCCTGCAGCAGCACGGCCGCCTCCCGCGGCTGCTCGCGCAGCTGGAGCACGCCGGCGCTCTGCTCGGCCACCTGGCCGTGGTCCACGCCGAAGCCCTGCGCCAGGCGGCCCAGCAGCTCGGCGCGCTCGGCCACCTCCGTCAGGCCGCCGTAGAAGCTCACGAAGTCCGCGCACTGGCCCTCGGCGGGCGCCGGCGACTTCTCCCGCAGCTCGTAGACCGGCGTCGCGGGCACGGCGCGGCGCAGCAGCTCGTCCATGGCCCGGTCCAGGGCGCCCGACACCGTCGGCCGGCTCGACAGCCGGGGACCGGGCGGCCGCTGCGGCCGCGGGGGTAACCGCAGCGGGAGGAGTCGCCGCACCGCCAGACCTGGCCCGAGGCCTCGCATGGCGCCGGGGGGCAGCTGCCTAGGTGACGCCGCCGCCACTGATGCCGTGTTCCGGCTTCCGACTTCCGGCGCGCGCCGGCCCTATTGGCCGAGGCCCAGGGACGGGCGGGGCGGCGGCCTATCGGAGGGCGCGGCGTCGGGGCGCGGAGGCGGGGCGGGGCGCGGCCCGAGGCCAAGTGCGACGAAAGGTCCCGGCCCGGAGGCGGGGCTGGCGGCCGCTTCGGGCCTCTGCTCCCCCGACCTGCGGCCAGTCGCCCGACGTCCCCGTCCCCGCCCCTCCCTGCTCTTCCCCGTCCGCGCCAGCACCTTCCTTTCTCTAGAGCCGAACTCGCCCACCGCAGGTGCATCGGAATCACCCGCGGAACGTGTTAGCCTGCGGATTCCTGTTCGCGCGTCCCAGGGATGCTGGTTCAGTGTGGCGGGGGAGGAGCGGGGAATCTGCATGTCTCCCATGTTTCGCGGTGGGGGTCCTCTGACAGGGTAGCCTGGACGCCCTCATTTCGCCGTCAGGGTCTGATTATACAAGTGACTCCCAGAGCTGCAGCCCTTCTCTCTGAGCTCGGAACCCAGGCCCTGGCTGCCCCTGGCGAGCTGTTCATGGGTGCGGCCAATGGGGCTCTCCTGAGCGCCCGGTTCCCAACCTGTTCCTCCCTCCTTAGTATTCGCTCGCTCGTTCGTTCATTCGTTCGTTCGCTCGTTCGTTCGTTCATTCGTTCATTCATTCATTCATAGAGTGTTTATTACCCACTTGGTATGTGCTAGGTCCTACATTAGGTACGGTGATAAAATAATGAACCAGACAGACCTGATAATGCCCCATGGAGTTTACAGTCTAATGAAGGAGACAGATGATAACATAAAACTAAACATTGTGATAAGTTATATAACGGAAATAAACGTCAGAAGCAGCGTGGGCCAGCGTGGACTTCCCACTGTGAACAGGGTCACCGGGAAGGCCTCTCTGAACATGTGACATTTAAATGTAGGAACTGGCAATAATAATAACAGTGTTTAGAAAGGGGAGTAAGTGTTGGTGAGGATGTTGAGAAAATGGAATTCTCGTGCACCGTTGGTGGGAATGTAAAGTGGTGTGGTCATTCTGGAAATCGTTTCGGCCTCAAAAAGTTAAACACAGAGTTAGTTACCTTATGGCCCAGCAATTCCACTCCCAGATACGCAAGGAACTGTAAACATAAATTCACAGAAAACCTGTTCATGAATTTTCATAGCAACATTATTGATAATAGCCAAGAAACAGAAACAACCCAAATGTCAATGAACTGATGAATGGGATGAACCAAAAGCTGCATATCTAGACAATGGAATATTATCAGCCATAAAAAGGAATGAAGTACTAATACACATTACAACATGGATGAACCATGAAAACATTATGCCAAGTAAAAGAAGCCAAGTAACAAAAGACCACATATTATATTGTTCCATTTATATGAAATATCCAGAATAGGCAAATCTATTGAGTCAGAAAATAGATTAACGGTTGCCTAGCACCTGGGGAGGGGAGAAAAGGGAGTGACTGATAATATCTATGGAGTTTCTTTTCAATGATGAAAATATTCTGGAATTAGATGAATATTGTGCATGTACTAAAGACCATTCAACTCACTTTTAAATGGCTAAAGTTGTGATTTTTGTTACGTAAATTTTATCTTTAAAAAAAAAAAAAGCCTGCCCCAGGGAGATTAGCATCTAGAGAGAATCTGTAGAGAGAATCTGATCAGTCCAGTGTGGATCAGGTATCCAGGCTGGGATACAGGGTTAGATGGACCAAGCAGGAGGCTGGGAGGGAGTCATCCTTTTGGGTGGGGACTTAATGTTCAGAGGAGAGGGGTATGGGCTGGGCCACTGTCCCAAGAAATGTCTACTTTATTATTATTTTTAAATATATTTTTTATTGATTTCAGAGAGGAAGGGAGAGGGAGAGAGAGATAGAAACATCAGTGATGAGAGAGAACCATTGATTGGCTGCCTCGTGCACACGCCCTACTGGGGACCAAGCTGCAACACAGGCACATGCCTTAGACTGGAATCAACCCGGGACTCCTCAGTCTGCAAGCCGACGCTCCATCCACTGAGCTAAACTGGCTAGGGCAAGAAATGTCTACTTTATGAAAAAATAGTGTTAAAGAAAATCCTGGAGGAAAAAAATCACCCATAATTCTAGCATCTTAATTATGGCAGTTTTTATTTCTGCAAATCCTTCCAGTATTTGCTTACAGGCCAACATACTTTTTCTAGTTGTAATCACTGTCTGTGCTGTTTACTTCCTGTAGTTTTCACTTCTCATCCTATCACATATCATTCTCATGTTTCCAAATCATCTTCATAATCATCAGTTTTAATGGCTGGCTGACATTCAATTGAGTTGCTGTACCATAATCTCTCTCTCTTAATCCCTTTGCCATGTCTGGATATTTATACAGCTTCTACTTTCTTTGGTTGGAAAAGCATTTAAATAGTCATTCTGTAGGGAATACTTCCATGCATGCTGACTCTCATGCTGACTTTTTCTTTACTGGAGTTGCCCAAATTGCTTAAAAAGACCAACTAGGATAAATTTCCCCATGAAATGTCAAACTAACAAGAAACCTAGCACAAAAAGAGACTCATGAACTCACTGAACTAGCTGGGAATGCAGCTGCAATTCCTGGGACTCCCCCCCCCCCGGCCCAGGGAAGTCTCTGTTCTCACTGGTGTGTTTATGCCTCTCTCCCCACCAATAATTCAATAAAGTCATCTCTGCTATGAATATACAATACTAATGCAGATTTATCTCTTCATTTGGGTTGTTTTTGCTGTTACAGTGCTACTCTGAACATAGTTATGTCTTTCAGTCCTGGGGTACACGTGCAGGGGTCCCTCTAGACCAGTTTCTCAACCTTGACACACTAGACATTTAGGGATAGATTATTCCGTGTGATGGGGGCTGTCCTGTGCATTGTGGGATGTTTAGCAGCATCCCTAGCCTCTGCCTAGATGCCAGCAGCATATCCCATTTGCAACAACCCAGCATGTCTGCAGACATTGTCAAATATCCCCTGGGGGACAAAGCAGCCTCCCACTGTTAAGAACCACTGCACTAGACCAGTGGTTCTCAAACTTCGTTGCACTTTAGAGTCACAGGGGGGAGCTTTTAAATATTCCATGCCCAGACTGCACTCGGTCCAATTAAACCGGAAGCCCTGGGGCACACTGCTGGCACTGATCCTCACATTGCCTGCACCCCGAAATCACCTGGGAGCTTTAAAACACACTGATGCCAGGGCCACAACCCAGAGGTTCTGATGTAACTGGTCTGGAGTGGGACCCAGGCATTACGGTTTTAAAAAGTGAAGCCTCGCTGAAACCGGTTTGGCTCAGTGGATAGAGCGTCGGCCTGCGGACTGAAAGGTCCCAGGTTCGATTCCGGTCAAGGGCATGTACCTGGGTTGCGGGCACATCCCCAATAGGAGATGTGCAGGAGGCAGCTGATCGATGTTTCTCTCTCATCGATGTTTCTAACTATCTCTCTCCCTTTCTCTCTGTAAAAAATCAATAAAATATATTTAAAAAAATAAATAAATAAAAAGTGAAGCCTCAGGTGAGTCTAATGTGCAGTCACAGTGCCTATGAGATTGCTGAGCCACAGGGCTGCACTTTCCTGAGTATCAGAAAACAGTTTCTAACCACGGTTTCCAATGGTGTCTTTGACTTATGTCTGCCCTCCTCCCCCATCGCTGCCCTCAGCGCTGAGCTCCATGAAGGCAGTGTCTGCCTCATTTATCTTTAGATAACTGTTGCCTAACCCAGTAGCTGGTACAGAGTAGCTGCTTAATGTATATTTGCTGTTAAATGGGTTATATTTTTGCTGCAATTTTAAAGCACCTTGTTGTTGGAGCCAGTAGGGAGAGAAGCAGAATTGAGACGACTGGACATGGAGCCAGCACCCCATGGATCTCTAACACATTCCTCAGTGTCAGGCTAAGAAAGGTGGTCAGTGTCAGCAAGTGTGAGAACTTGTAGATGTTTCATTCGGACGCCTCTGAGGACTTCCTGCTGTTGGAAGCAGAGAAGTGAGGGGGTGCCAGGAGCGAGGGGCTTTGGGTGCCGGTAGAAAGGACTCAGGACTGTGATGGGGAGCTGAATGGAGACTGGGGTGAAGGTCTCCTAGGTACCATTCCATGAATGCTGTCCTCCCAACATGTCCATGTCATAATCCCTAGAACTTGGGAATTCTGGGTCACATGGCAAAAAGGAGTTAAGGTTGCAGATGGAATTACAGTTGCTGCTGACCTTGAGATGGGGAGGTCACCCTATGTTACCAGCGGAAGAGGGAGGCCGAAGAGTTAGAATCAGAGAGAGATTTGAAGATGGAGGAAGGAGCCGCGGGCTAAGGAATGCAGGTGGCGTCTAGAAGCTGAAAAAGGCAGGGAGACAACATCTCCTCTGGAGCCTCCCGAAGGAACTGACCACGTGTGATTTTAGTCCCACTAAGTTTGTGGTCATTTGTTCCGGCAGCCATAGGACACTTACATACCTCCCAAGGTCTGCTTTGTTTGCTCCAAAAGGAAATGCGATGGGGAAAGTATGTCTTGTATCAAATTCTGGTCTTTATGAATAAGAAAAGCAAATGGCTGATATTGGGCGTGCTAGGTACCCGACATTATCCCGTGCGCTTCACATGAACTCAGTCCCTTAACCCTCACAGCAACTCTGAGAGATAGGTTCTATTTTTATCTGTATTTTTTACTGTTAAGGTAAACTGAGGCACAGAGAGGTTAAGTAATCTGTCCAAGGTTGCCCAAGCAGTCTAAGTCCACAGTCCACGTCACACGCTGCCACGCTTATTTGAGAGGAGAAAGCTTTGTTAACTGTAGAGCAAACACACTTCTGTATTGGACAGATGAGGGTTGGGATGATGGTTCTGTGAGATTCCAGGCAAGTTACTTAATCTCTCTGAGCTTTAGTCTCCTTACCAGCAACAAAACAACAACATGATACTACCTTAAAGGGTTGGCATTTTGGTGACATGAGGAAAAATATGAGAAACCA